TCAATGTTCATTAATTCCTTAAACTAAATTTTATATTAATATAATAAATTTAACGAATTTATAATTAATTATGTACATAGGTACTATGTTAACTCAAAAAGAAAATTCGTATTCGTAGAAGATGATGAATTGTGGTTTTTATCGTTGAAATCCCATATAGTTTTTTCTGATTCCAGCAGTTCTAAAAACTTTATTGTATTTTCATTAATCCACTCGAAAGGCATTTTGGTAGATCGTATTTATTTAATAACAGGACGGCACGCACGTCCGTTCATCCAGGCGCTTGTCGCGAAGTGAGCGATGGAGCTGAATGTGAACACACACTGCCGCTGGCGCTGCCCGTCCTTTGACTTCCGCACGAAAAACCGACATTTCGGGCAGTGTCAGCGGCAGCGGCAGTGTCAGCGCGAGTAGCCTGTTTACATACTGCCCTGCTCACTGCCCTGCTCACTTCCCTGCCCAAACGGGCTGAATGTAAATGGGGCATATATCTTACTGAAAAGAAATTAGGGGGTTTTGCAACTTTGAATATACTTAACTCTGATTGGCTTGATTTTGGTTTATAGGCGTACAGTTTATGAGTAATGTTTTTTAAGCTATTGCATAGCTTCTATCGCGGGCCTTGAGCGCGGGGACCGAATCTGACTGAGATGTTTGACGTTCCAATGTCATAGATAGTCTCAATTTTATGCCGGAATATTGACCCAAAGTTACTTCTGTAACAGCTTCGGCGTTGCAGGAAGGGCAGCTCCTTCGCCTTTGCGTCGCAAATCGAAGACACCCATGCCACACCTCCACAGGTTTGGCTTATTGGACCAGCCTCAGCCTCTACGGCTCTCACGAGTACCTGCAATTTGCTACGACGGGCGGGGGCTGCTCTCCCTCCGCGCCGACGACTTTACAAAAACACTCTAGGGGCTCTTAGAGCAGACTAGCCTACGTGACGGGGCGTGCTGATTCGGTTTTAGAACAGATTAGACCAATCGTCTAATTATCAGTGTTTTCGCGATAGGCATCCCTAAATTTTTTGCCGAAAATTCGGTTATACCTTCAGATTGCTAAGCAGTAGTATAAATACACATAGCTGTATTTATATTTTAAGAGAATGAGACCCAGTATAATTGTGAGCTTTTCGGTTGTGGGCTCAAGTGATACCACGCAATTTAAGCTTAGCCTAGTAGCCTTTTTATTTAAAGTATTTTGGAGCTATCGATTGGCCACATACTTCACTTACTAAGACACCAGTAGATTGTTTAACATTTTTATATTATATAAAAGTGAATATTTTGTCGGAAATACTGTCTATAAATAATCGTTTGTTTTTCTCATTTCATGCTAAGTTTAGCAAAAACATATAAATTGAGTTAAACAATTTCTTAATACATAAATCTTCTATTAAAGGAAGGTATATTTTAGGGCTTAGCTCGCTATAATGAAGTTCCGCCGATTGAGGTTAGTTTAACTTGGATGTACTGTTAATGTCAAAAATATGAAAGCACATTATATCTGTGTCAATAAATATAAGCGGCTGAAAAAAATACGCGGACAATATATTGTCTATTTTATAAATTTTGGTCCCATGGGTCTAATTTTTCTTAGCATTTACTGCATTAATTTTTTCAGTAATATGATATTTTATGATGTTATTCAACACCTTGCGACGTAAGCAAGTCACTCAAACTATCGCCATACAATTATTGTTCTTTATTTTTCATTATTGAACAAAGGGCTTCCCCCATAGATTTTCACATTGGGGAATACTTGCCACAGCTGCCACGTTTGGCAGGCTGGATGGCAACCGCAGTTTCTTATTATAATCGAGTTTTTATTGTGAAGATTTTGCTGCGCATCTCGTGTTTCAGTTTCCTGTGTCGCCACTTCCAGCACACCACCATGATAATAGCAAGTTAAAATCGTTAAGTATATTTTATAAGGTTTGTGACGGCTCCGCGACGCAGTGGCTTAGCAATGAGTTACAGCGCTAAGGGCCGCGGGTTCGAATCGCGCACGGAACAAGTATTTGTATGGCCTACAAGTAATTGTTCCGGGTCTGGATGTTTGTTCTTGTGAAATTTATGTTTGTAAACTGCCCCCACGATACAGGAGTATATCCTAGTGTGGAGGTAACGTAAAAAAATGAAAAAGAATTTTGACAACGTAATCGCATATAAAAATCAATTACTGTCCGTTAGTGTCGCTAAAACTCGAAAATGGCTTCACTGATTTTGATGAAATTTAATGTGTGTGCTTGAGGAGTGGGTCCCTGGATGGTCTAGATTCACAACTGAAGCCGTTAGGTGTCGCTGTTGTCCAGTTCCAGAAATCACCCGTGCGTAGCCGGGGCGGATAGCTACCTAACAATATTTATTACAATAAAAAAAAGAACTAAAAACGAAACACTGATATTAAAATCGTTTTAAAATAATACATTCTCATTCATGGCACGAAAACATTATGCATAAAATTAGTTTATATATCTCTATTTGTATGATAACAGAAGACTGTTCGCATGAGTTAGCGACTTGTTTTAAAAACCAGTTAATATAACAGAACGTGCAAACGATCTGCGTCATTTGATTAAAAAGATGTATGCAACCAATTTAATTGCAGCACGTAGACATGTTTCCTCATCTTTAACTGCGTATTAAAATAATTCCCAATGCGACAATAAGTTACAGTTGGGTAGAATGAAGTTATACGAATAAGGAGTATTGAATGTCTTCACTATGTGCAGATAAAAAATAACTTCGGGTGTATTTTGAGGGGAAAGTTTATAAAAAATAATTGCTTATCATCTGTAATAATAAAATAACTGGCTTGTAAGTTGTTTGAACGGTATTGACATATGAATAACCATTTGTAAAATTTGTCTGTCCGGGCTAATCTTCGGAATGACTAGATTGTAATGAAACTTTACAAACAGATAGTAAGCAATAACTGGATTGTAATGAAACTTTATGAACAGATAGTAAGCAATGACTGGCTTGTAATGAAACTTTACGAATAGATAGTAAGCAATGCCAGGAGGAATCTAAGCTAAGCTACGCTCTCAATAAATTGTCTTTAATAATCTTAAAACTAAATAACGCCACGTTAATAGGTCAAGGAGAAGCAGGGGCGGGTCGCTCAGAAGTCTCAGTCAGTCTCTCAGAAAATAGTAATGAATGAATACGCTGACTTTGTTTAGGCTAAGTCAGGGCACTTTGATAAAACTGTTTATACGGATTTTATCGCGTTAAATTAACTATTTTTAAGCGTCGGTGCTTCACGTCCGGTCCGTTCGCTTTCGTTCCGGGAAGTCTGCAGTCTGTGAAAATGTTCAAGATCGTCCCCATCATTACATAAGATTTGATAAATCACAAATCCTCGCAAAGAACACCGATTCCTACCAAGGATGATACGCGAGGCTAAAGAAATTAAAAGTAAAACTTAAATTCAATAAAGAAGATGAATGGGTGCTGCCATCTGCTGGGGATCCTATAATTTACAAAAGTAAATCCAAACCCAAGCATACCACTGCAATACTTCAAGATACTGTAAGCTCGTTCTGCGTAGATCGAACTTCGTAGCCGGGCTAACTATGACATTAGGACGTCAAGCATCTCAGTCCCTCGTCACCCATGACCATGGGTGCTGTAAAGCACCGAAACGTCTGGAATTAAAAAAAATAGGTTAATTGAACGCGATAAAATCCGTGAAACAGAACAGTTCAATGTGTAGTGGTCGCGTAAATATAAGAAATCATCAGTGCACTTTGTTGGGGACTTAGGGGACTTAGGGACAGTCATAGAAAATAGCAATAATTAAATAAATATAAAAAATGTGTAATTTATTTAAATTTTATAGTGACCTGCTACAAGTTGGAATGTTTTCAGACTTACTGTTTTTATATTTGATAAGTAAATAAACTTAATCGTATAAAACAATCCATCTTAATTTTTGTATATTTTTAAATAATTAATTTAATTTAAATAAGAAATCGAAGTTTCAAGACACTATAATATATATATAATATTCGATTTTATAATATATTTGTAATAAATTGATAAAAATGTTCATTAATAAATTGCCTATCCATTATTGTCAAGTGCAAAATAAAATAATGCTTACTTTACGAGGAGATACATGTTATCAATAATTATTTCGCATTTCTGTGGTTTAGTTGTAGTAAGATTCATCAAGTATTTACTCCTTTTATAAAATTGGAACTGGCTATTGTGGAATCAAGATTATGTAGAAATTTAATAGATTTTGTTATTAGTTGATATATCTTTTTAGTAACAAGTAGATAGCTCCTAAAAACCTCACAAATAACGACTAGCGCGGCATTTTGCTCAAACACGCACCTTAAATGCTAGGTACTTTCCTTTCAATTAGCTTTTTGGTAATAAGGCCGGACACCCTTAACTTTTTAGTTTTAGTATAGCATGACTTCTTTGTTATTAATCATTCAATATTCGTTACAGTATTAATTTCGATAATTGCAATATTAAGTATGTAAGTACATAAATAATGGTCAAATTTAAAACGCCTAACTAAAGCCGGACGGGCCAGTTGCCGCGCCGTCTAATTTGGCCGGACACGTAACCAAACAGCCAAACTGTGTCTGGCTTTATCCGGACGCCGCCGAGCAACGCTACCCGCCTTGAAGGATTAATATGGTGATCAATAGTTAAAAAGCTAATAAGCTATTATATAATTAATGAGCGATATCGTATACTTAATATGTAGTTATCTATCTTTATCTCTACGTGACTATAGCCTGGTCTGTTTTAAACACATGCACTACGCCTTGTGTTCGAATCAATTATATAAGTTTATCAAAAGAACCGACTGAAGTGCGATATGGATTCATTGTCGAAATTATTTGAAAAAATGTAAATCGGTAGTGTTACTAGTGCACTCATTAAGTTCACATGTATTCGCTGGATTACATTATAGTACAGTTATACAAGTAGTGATAAACATAAATAAGACCAGTGGTAAAGTGCAAGCCCCGCATGTCAACAAGTGAGTGTACATACACGTATTGTAATTTACAACGAACTTGGTTATCATTTAATGGGACCTTCATATTATAATATATAATCGTTATGAAAGGTCAACTGTCGAACAAGAATAAACAACAAAGGTTATGAAGTTATGATTTTCAAGTTATTTTGCGAATTATTAGTTTATTGTTGAAAACATATTAAGTTAATCTTTAAACTAACATGAAACTAGCTTTTCCGCGCGGCATCTCGCTCCAGGTATGGAAAACCAAAGGTTTCTTTGCCCAGATGTGAGACATAAAAGGTATTTCATATCAAATTCTAAGTTATATCGGACTTCTCTGTCAAATTTAATTCAAATCCGTTCATCCCTTCCAATGATGTAAATGTGTGACTAAAGAAAAGAAATAATTTTCTCAAAAGTTACTAGGTTTAAATATTTCTATTAATTAATACACTGCCATAAAGAAACGACGACGAAGTAAATGAAGTAAAATTTACTTGAAAATTGATATGAGCGATTATGGCCGGTTAGTTATCCGCGCATTAATTTTAACTTGTTCTTATAATATTTAAATATTGCGTTTTTATATTTATATTTTATACCCACATCTATTAAAATGCAAAATTGAAGTTTATTCAAATAGTTGTGAAGTTATCATATATTTCATTAAACCGCATTTAACTTATTTGCACATTTTCTCTTTTCAAGTACAAAAGTAATGTTTCCGACCTTGTTTTTAGAAATTTGGGTGAATATAACTAGTACTACCTTATAGTACATATTATCTATGTTATTGCTACTTAATAAACAAAAGCATTACGTGATTTATAGGGCCATAATAATGTTACGCGCTCAAGTCGACGATACACTAGCGCCATCTAGTGTCAGGAACGAGAGCGAGGGGAGCATTGAGAAAATGACATCACAAATCACTCAACCGACAGCGCCTAGTCGAAACTCGAACGCTCGGTACCTTGCGCGTGTTTACTTGAACATTCTGGATATTTCTTTGCTAATTTAAATAAGTAGGCGCTGCAAAGATTCGATCGGGGCAGTGTTGATTTGGCGAAACAAGCGAAGCTTCGGAGCGGAATAAAGTGAATAAGTGTGTTTAATTATTAGTGTTTTTAACTTTAATTTGTGTAAAGTAAATTAAAGTGTTAAATTAGGTAATTTTATCGGCAATTTTTATTGTCACGAACTTCAAGCTCGTAACAATAATTATGGTTAAACAAGGGTTAAAGTATGAGTGACGTTGTAATGGAGTGGCTAAATAAATTTTTGAAGTAAAATCTTTAGGCATTTTAGGTACTTTTGGGATAGTCACGCTCAGATACGTATATACACTAGACACTAAGGTACTTAACGATGAATTTAAAGTACTCGTAATGGTGGAAGCTGATCCTATAAACAACCAAGAAATTAGTGTCGTGGTTTGAAGTTAGTTTACCTATAATGTTGACTCATTTTATCAACATAAAAATAAAAACTCGAGAATTGGGTACCTTATTCATGAGTTAACTGATGTGCATACTGCATCATACTGCAGGAGCACGCGTTGAAGCTTGCCTTGCTTTGATGAGTAGGTACAGAAATGAAGAGATTGTTGACATGATTGTGACGAGTAATAGCGGATTATCTGCGATAATCGCTAGCGAAAAACGCAATGGCTGAACGCAGGTCCTATGCCGTAAAAATATCCTAAAGTGAGGCTCACCCATATAAAAATAATGATAACAGTTTGATGGTCACTTCATAGTGTCATTCACTTTAACTTTTTCAGATCCAGTGTATCAATTTTATTCATTTTCACTTCATACGTGGTAGAGCTATGTTGCAGTTATATTAGGAGTGTAGCTGTAGCCCGAATGGTTCTGCTTGACCAAGGAAGGACCACGCTCTCACATAATACCAGCGTAAAGTAGTCGCTTAGTACTGCTGTGTTCCGTATGGTTCCCCCTTACTGGAAACGAGCCATTCCATCTTAGTCCTCACGGGTCGCATCTGCATTTTGATTTAGTGTATAGTAGATGTCTATGGGCTACGGCAATCACTTAACTTACCATCAGGTGGACTGTGTGCTCGTTTATCACCCTATCCTATAAAAATCAAGAACATCAAACGTCTATTGTGAAGAACTTCAAACAATTATACGTGGTAGAGTCATGCTGCAGTTATATTAGTAGTATAGTTGTAGCACGAATGGGTCGGCGCGACCGGGGAAGGACCACGCTCTCACAGAATACCAGCGTCAAATAGTAGCTTAATGCTGCTGTGTTTTGTATGGTGAGTGTAGAGAACCGGAGACCCTTTTTACTGGAAACGAGGCATTCCATCTTAGTCTTCACGGGTGGCAACGCATCTGCATTTTGATTTGTAATCCAGGATAGATGTAGGTGTCTATGGGCCGCAGCAACCACTTACCATCAGATGGAATGTGTGCTCGTCTATCACCCTATCGTATAAAAAAGTTATGGTAACATTCCCAGAGAAACAATCGATCTTCGCCATTACTGCTCCATGAAAGCGCAAGACAAGTTTTATTATTACAAGACCTGCTATTAGAAACCATACGTCTTGCGTCTTCCTCCGTACTCGCCAGACCCCAACTCATCGCCATTGCTTCCGCATTTTGGACACTTTAATGCAAGGAAAAGAAATTGTTCTGAGAAAGCAGTACAAAATGCCTTCATTGACTTTGTATATTCCTGATTCCTAAAGTTTTATCGCAAAGCCATAAACGATCCTCCCTCGAGATGACAATTGTATATAACGGAGTAAATACTTTGATGAAATCTATAGCAAGCTAAAATATGCTTAGAAAAAAGGGTGTTTGAATTTTTCAATTTATAAAGGCTAATTCATACTTTTGCTCTTAACACTTGCTTAGCCATTATTTGTATAGATAACAGAAATATGTATAATGGGTATGTTCCAAAATAGAACCCAGTGTACTGTCCAATGCAAATGACGTCATGAATCGACGCTATACTGGTGATTCCTTCCAAATTATAGGACATTATATGACGTCATACATTTGTGCCATATTGGAAAAGTGTTGGCGATTATTTTGTCAAATTGTGCTCCAAAAATCATTATAGGTATCCTCCCAATGGAGATACCAGCAATTATTTTATAATTTTTTGTATTTGAATAATTAAAAACAAATTGTGGCATGCTTCATTCAGCGCACACACAATTAAAAATTGTTTTATTATGGCCGGATATCCGACACAATATGGCGGCGGCACGCCAGTACAATATAGTGTCAATTGATGACGTCATTTGTATTCGGCAGTATACTGAAAACGTTTCGGAACATACCCCATATTGATATAAATATTATGTATATCAGATAATAATTTTGTTTTTATTTTGTTATCCTACAATCATACTGCGATGAAGCTATACATGAAGGAACAATACAATTGTTTTCTCCAACTAGAGACACGATATCCGCTCATTATATCGAGACAATCCCACTGCACAAATAAGCAAACAACTCCATGCTATGAATGCAGGCATTTTGTAAAATATAGTTTACTATTTCTTTATTATAAGGAGATAGATTAGAAAGGTTGGAATGATTGTTTTGTTACGTATTGCTTCATAATGGTTTGACTTCGACTTCAAATCGAATCTTTTACTTCCTTATTAGCCCGTAGACTGCGCTGCTGGATGTGAGCTCTCCCTGATTAAAGAAGATTAGCCGTAATCGATACATTTTCAGACAAATTGACAATCTCGATATCTTATGCTTTGCATCGTGACCTGCTTAACACCATGGATGTGAATTTATTTTATATCTAGGATATTTAGAAATTAAGAAAGAAAACAAGACATTTATTCATATGTTATTACGTGCTTCATTTCATAACTACAATGATATATCAGTTATACAGGAATGATCTTTCATTCATACTGACACTTACTTAGACTAATATTTATATATTATATACTTAATTTACTAATTAATAACTACTTAGTTACTTAGTATACTAAATTATTCCAGCGAATGTTCGCGAGTTGGCTTATGTGATTCCGACATAATATCAGTAAGGTAACTTTGTTACTGTAAGTAAGGTTTTTTTTTTTTTATTTTAGAAAGGATGAAGGACTTTTTTTTTTGATTTTAAAATTTAAGGCCACCGTAACAAAGTTACCGTAGCATTAAGTTGATTCGGTGGCCATTTTGTTGCTGCAATCCATATTTTTACTTACTACACTTCTTAGAAGATAAGAACTGAGGATCATAAAATTGCTTAGTTTACTATATACTTATCCTCATTACTATTTGATGATAATAATCTTTATATCGTACATTTTCCTCATTTTATTTGGATTATTATAATCACTAAAGAGTAGGTACATGATTGATAACTTCCTGGGAATAAAGTGGTCGCTACCATGTCGTATCTAAATGTTTTCATATTTAAGTGTACAAGATATTATATTGTAAATTTATCTTTAAAAAAAGAGTCCCGCTGGGTTTCTTGCTGGATCTTCCCATGTCAGAGGTTTTGTCTCGAATCTGTGGTAAACGCATAATTGACTTTCAATAAGTAATCTGTAGTGAATAAAAAGTATTCTATTTTATTATGTTATATACCTAGGTACAATATTGTTTTAAACGACTTCAAAAAGCAGGATTTTCTTAATTCGACTATTTTTTATGTCTATGTTACGCGATATCTTCGTCAGTTGTGAACGGATTTTGATTTACGTGACTTTACCAGATCATTCATGGCCAATATGTGTTCTTTTATCTCAACCTGAGCTGATGCATATTTATTTGAGATAATTTGTAAGGAGTTTTTAAGCGACAAAACTTCAGAATTGAGACACTCTATTTCAGTCTCATAACAGTTTTTCATATTTTCCACCTCAATTGAATATAATTTAAGTTTATTAAATAATTCATGCTTTTCCTTTCATATATTTACATAGTTTTTTAAATTAATTTTAGTTTTAATTAAATTTTGCACTTTCCTAACATATTTATTAATTTTTATGTATTTCTTTAATTTTCTTCTACTGCATGTAATTCTTTCTGCTGTTTTTGAAGTGACAAAATCATAACCAGTCAAATCAATTGTTGTGGAGGGTTGCAATGTTTTTTAAAATTTACATTCTATGAGCTCATTGAACAGACTTTGAGTTTGGGACACTTTTAATTCATCTAAGTATTGTTTTAATTGCACAATCTGATCGTTAGCCTCACTTAACTGTAACTGCAATGCGGCAATTAATCGAGGAATTCCTCATATTCATTTTAACATAATAATAAATTCATTCATTTTAACATAATAATAAATACAAAACAAAAAATTAAATGATTTGTTCAAGAAATATAAAAAAATACTTGACATAATATAATAGTCATTTAAGTTTTTTGTACATTTTTGTCGTTATATTTTGACATATCATATATAAATATTTTTTTTTCAATTAAAAAGTGGATTTAAGTCACTTGTACTATAAAATAATGTACCTACGATACACAGCACTTAAGTAACCGATTATTAAATCGTGTAAAGTTAGTGCATTCGCTACGCTCGTGCGCTAACTTCATAATTTTTCAATAATGGGCTACTTAAGTCCCTTGTAATGTACTATTATTCTTTTTAGCTCTGTGAAGTCGACATTTAATTTCAATTACTTATCACAGTGTCGCAGAATACCACCGTAAAATAGCTAAATGCTGCTGTGTTTCGAATGGGGAATGTAGAGAACTGAAAACTCTTTTTACCGGAAAACGATGCATTCCATCTTAGTCCTCAGGGGTGACAACGAATCGCATTTTGATTCTTAACTGAGGATAGATGTAGATGTCTATGGGCCACAGAATCCACTTACTATCAGGTGAACTATGTGCTCGATTGTCACCCTTATTCTATAAAAAAAGTTAAATTTTTGAAAAACAACTGTAATTTATGAACGATATTTTTTCTTTGTTTCCAGTGACAAGAGCCAATATGTGTCCAATATGGCCCCTGCATATCATAATTTTATACCTGTTGGCGTTGTACCCCATGTGGGCTGTGTGCCAGGCGGTACCAAATCTACTGGCAACATTCGACCCTAGCGATATCACCGTGCACATGGACGCTTATAAATTCGTCAATGTTACCGTCACAGGTAAGGAAGTGCTAAATCAGGCCTGTAATTTATTTCATGCTTCCTTTTCCATTCTTTATTCCTCTTCCACGTTATTGCTAAAGTGTTTGAGGAATGCGGTTTAAGAAACATGAAAATAGGAGTAGGGGAGTTAAACTAGCGCCCAATACGTAACGCGTTGTCGGTTGCCAGCACTTTAACCCTTAAAGAGAGTCACTTATATTTATTGTTGCTTCTAAAATTTTGTCCCATAATACTATATAACATACATATTAACTTATGGAAAATTTGTTATCTGCATTTTTTTACCTTATAAATATTTTCTAAGGGGCCGTCCAATAATCACGTGAGGCTGGAAAGGGGGGGAGGGGGTGTAAGATTAACACGTGTATTTATTTTTTCGTCAAACGCGCGATTTCTAAACGGAAAAGCGGCGTGTAATGTGTCCTTGACTCGCCTGTACATGTAAATTCATGTCACAAGCATGAGAACCTAATCCGAGCAATAATAGTCTAGAGATGCACAATGTTCGTCCTTCACGCATCGTCACGCGACGATCGATCAGTAGATCGAGAGAGATTCTCTGTGCAGTGCGCGAAATGATGAAGCCGAGTGGCTTGATGAGACCGACGCTGATCTTCAACAAAGCACAGTGTTAGTGTTGAAGAAAGTTGCTAATCCGTGGTCCGAGGACATAAAATATGTTCATGTACTAGTACAATATATGTTTTTCGCATAATTACACCATTTTTTAATATTATTTTTATGCCAGTCAAAATCAACCTGCAACCTTTCTGTTTAGACATTTTTATCATGGTCCTTAATTTCAGAATTAAACTCGATTATACTGTATATGTAGGTACTAAAAATACACGTGATTGGGGGGGGGGTTTAGTCTTAAACCTATTATCATCAAGAGGGAGGGGGGGGGTTAAAAATGCTTAAAAAACATCACGTGATTAATGGACGGCCCCTAACCTTTCTTAAAGTCATATTTAATTTATTTACAAAACGGCTTAAAAATATTAAAACCTATTTTGGTACATGTTTTTTATTTGCAGGTGATGGGCTACTGGGAGCCGATGAAATTATAGTAACGGTTCCAAACGACCATGTGGCGAATGCTGATTGGAATTCTACGAATAAGCTCACAGAAGAAGAAGCTTCTAGTACGAGATGGCAGGGCCGATTGCAAGTCAGTGGAAAATTTCTTGGTAAGCAATATAAATGAATTTTAACATATTGAGGTGTCATCGTAGCTAAGGAGTAAGGCGCGTGTCTTAAATACAACAGTACGCAAGCCTCTTTAGGCGTTTTTTATAGGATAGGCTGACAAACGAGCACACAGTCCACCTGATGGTAAGTGGTTGCTGTGGCCCATACACATCTACATCTATCCTCGATTACGAATCAAAATGCAGATGCGTTGTCACCCGTGAGGACTAAGATGGAATGCCTCGTTTCCAGTAAAAATGGTCTCCGGTTCTCTACACTCTCACAACACAGCAGCAATAAGCTGCTATTTGACGCTGGTATTCTGTGAGAGCGTGGTCCTTCCTCGATCGAGCCGACCCATTCGTGCTACAACTATACTAGTAATATAACTGCAGCATTGCTCTACCACGAAAAAAAAGGCTAGTGGTAGTGAAAGTGTTTGCTGATCGTGAAGTCCCGGGTTTGAATTCCGGGTCAGGTCACGATCAGTTATTGGGTTTTTCTGTTAAGAAATTCTTAGCAGCAGCCCGGAGTCAGGAAGTTGGCGGTGTCTCACCCCCGTGCCTCGGAAAGCACGTAAAGCTGTTGGATTTTGCTCCTGATCTCTTTCCGGCCGTTTCGGTTTACCGTCCCATCGGACTATGAGAGAGAGGGAATAGAGATTGCACCTGTGCTTACGTGACTAATCTCCGTTGAGACTGGCCGTCGTGACCGAAATTCGGTCTCAAGGACATTGTTATTAGTGTAGTGTAGCCCCCACGATATTATATATTTGTGTTAAGTGTACACTGATGGCCGTATGAGGACGGAGGACTCTGGTGATATCTAGGTGAGCATATCCGAGTAAAAAGAGGAAATAGCCACGGATTAGTAAGTTGAAGTGGCAATGGGCCGGCCATATAGCTCGAAGAACCGATAACCGATGAGGAAGAAAGGTTCTCGAATTGCAGCCTCGTACCGGTAGGCGTAGGGTAGGGCGACCCGCCACTAGATGGAGTGACGACCTGGTAAGATATGCAGGAAGTCGATGGATGCAAGTGACTCAAGACCGTGCTTTGTGGCATTACTTGGGGGGAGGCCTATGTTCAATAGTGGACTTGTGAAGGGCTGTAATGATTATGATGATGGTGATGATGTTAAATGTACAAAAAAGAGCAGTATAATTAAAGACAAAGCAAGAGTAACATGTCTCCCTTTTCATTAACACCTTCCAAAATTACATTAGTACGCAAACAACTTGACATCTCTGATGGAGATAACACTGTATAAATTTAATTTTTACGTCCTGCTGTGCCGGTTCGACGGTGGTAGACGGTGGGCCATTACTCACTTTCTCATATATTAAGTTGCCGTCAATTCTACTCGTATGTCCGACTTTAATCTTAGCCAATACGATACTAAACGTTCTTATCTACTGGTCTCGATCCTTATTTTGGATATTTAACATTTTAATATCCATTGGAAAGAGCTAGGGTAAAAAAATATAATAATTACTACCCGGGTATGGGTTAAGAAAAATATTCTTCATCATCATCAGCCCGTCATTGTGATGAGGATTTGTGTTAATCTTCACTTTAGGCAGGCGCATTGGCGATCGTAGTACCAAACGTCTCCCACCTTTGACGCCGCCTAGGTATTATACGTCTGATCCAAACGAGATAGTTATACTGTCTTTTTTTAATAGAATAAACGTGACAAATGCGCACACAGTTCACTTGATGGTAAGTGGATGCTGTGGCTCATAGATATCAACATTTATTCTCAATTAAGAATCGAAATGCAGATGCGTTGTCACCCCTGAGTACTGAGATCGAATGCCTCATTTCCAGTGACAAAAGGATCTCCGGTAGTCAAAAGATGTTTCTAGCATATAGTCGCCTCTTACAACACTCACGAAGGTAATAGGGTGGTAGATTCTCTTCTCTTCTCTTACGCCGCCACTGTACGGCAAAAGAATATAAGTAATAATTACTTTTCCAAATGCGACACTCAATTCGTCGCCTTTGGAATAGGACTGTGATCGATAACACTGACACATCTAACGTAATCTTCAAACATTTTGTCACTTAACAAATTACATGTCTGGTGTGTTTGTGTTATATCTCAATCTATTTCAATGTTTTGCTACCATCTAAGAGCGATAATCTCACCAAATTTGATTTGGCAACGTAATTTTTCGGATTCTTGAAAAAATCTACCTGTACAACACACATTACACACATTAGGCGTGTTCAGAGATTATCAACAGTATTCAGAGGTTGTAAACTATTATTTTTCGGAACTATCAACAATGTTTAGAAGTTGTAAACCTTTTTTTAAATAACAGTTTTTGTATATTATACCCAGTTTTGAAATATATTAGTCCAAGTGACCTTATCCGATAACGGTTTTGCCGGCCAAGTTATCAAACTGAAAATTTAAATAAATATAGAGTATTATAAATGTATCATAATGTTAGAATTAAAAAAATATGCAATTTAATGATAGCACTAACAAAAATAACTTGTTAGCTATTCTCCGGAATGGCTCATGTTTTTCAAGGAAAATTTTTGAAAACTACATTCTTATTACTTACTTCTCGATTATTTATCTTTCAAATTACTAATACATTTTTTTCATTTCAGGTCGGACGGATCTCGTACTAGAATTGCACAGGGGCGCTTCTGTACACCCAGTTAATGGTACAATACCAGTTACTGTGATCCGTCCAGAGCGAATTATTGATACTATATTTACGTCCAGTGTTGCCGCATTTGTAAGTTATTAAATTAACTAAAACCTTATTTTTGATAAAGTGTAAAAAAGTGAAATTTGACGAACAAATTCACGTCTTCATGGTATCAAATTTTTCTTCAAATTATTTATCTAAAGTATCAGCAGCTATTACAAATCACTCGTTTATTTTCAGGTATCACTTATATTCATAAACTTCGGTTGCGCCATGCATTGGCCTACGGTAAAGGAAGTGCTCAAGAGGCCAATTGGCCCTCTTATTGGTATGTGTGGACAGTTCCTCTTTATGCCGTTGGTAAGTCTCAAAAATGTTTCAAAGACAGAATTATTTCATTACTAGCTTTTTACCCGCGGCTTCGCTCGCTTAATAATGGTATCTGAATATATAGGCTTATTTGGTCAGGCTATATTATCATGATATAGTCAAGAAAAACTGTTAAACGTTGTGAAATACCGCCATTTCACTTTCAATAATAGATTAATTTATGATATTATAAATTCTTTGATCTGACCAATACATATATAAAACTCTTTATTTAAACTATAAGGATAATAAGAGTTTTGTACATACTAATTGCAATTTTATCAGTTAATTTATATAAAAAAATAACTACTAAAACTTTTTATAGATTAGAAATTAAACTTAGAAACATCCTTATTTTCATGATTTTCGATGGATATCACTACTGTCTATTAAGTTGTAATTAGTTACTTTAAAATTTATTTATATCTACTAAAATGAAATAACAAAAACTAAAAAATGTACATTAGAATTTTCGTTAAGAAATTTTATTAAATGACTATAATGGCAAATGAGGCAAAATGTCACTACTTTTTGTATTTTACGTTAGATAGACGTTAGATGGCACTGTCTTGAAAAATTTAGTACAACAATAATATCGTAGATTGTCGACGTAGTTTAATTTATTACGCAACGGTTAAAACTAATTTTGGGCTTTATTTACAAATATTTTATTTATTTTAATAAAACATATCAATCGTATAAAATAGAAATTAACATCTAAAGGAAGGAATTTTTTTTTTTTGCTTTTATGGAAATCTGTTCAGACAGACAAAAATTCTAAAAACCACTAATTTGGCTTCAGTATCCTTTATTTAGTCCCATGGACTTGTTTTCTCCAGAAAATATTAGAATTACAGACACGACTTTTCTACAGATTTATTAATGTATAAATTATTATTTCCTACTAGCTTATTAAAATAAATCTTGTGTTAAATATAAATTTTCTCGTTAATGCCTGGTTTCCATATTTGAAAAAAGTTTATAATGTGCAAAACAGTATTTGTTTCATAATATCAATTTGACTTAAAAAGTCGAATGAATATATTGTAAAGTGGTTTTAACACTTTGCATATAATAAAACTGATCGTTTTAAATATAATGAAAATGATCGTTTTAAATTTAAAAAAACTGATCGTTTTAGATATAATAAAACTGATCGTTTTAGATATAATAAAACTGATCGTTTTAAATATAATGAAACTGATCGTTTTAAATATAATAAAACTGATTGTTTTAAATATAATAAAACGGATCGTTTTAAATATAGAAACATCTATGGATTAATGGAATCGCGAATGCACACAGTTTTGTCGAATTGGTCAGTTGATGTTACTGTAGATTACACCAACTGATGCTAAACGCTGGGCCAAAAACACGCTGTGAACAATAAGGGCCGATCCTCGTTTACCATTCACAGTTTGTCCTCGGTCCGATCTCGGTCTGATTTATTATAATGGAATGGGATTGGACCGAAACTTGACTGTTACGGATAGTATGAATGCGCACACATATTTTTTACTTGATAATATTTTATTAGACCGAGAACAAACTGTGAACGGCATTATAATGAGGATCAGCCCTAAAGCGCTGTAAGTCGTCCATGCAGGGTGTGCAAATAGGGAAGAAAGTTCAACTGTTCTGCTGATCTGTGTGGGGGGAATAAAATAAATAAATTTTTATATATTTTCTATTTGGTTTAGCTACCCATGACATTATGTTTGGAGTTCTGTTCATTTTCTATATTGATGAATTAATTAATAGCACTAATTTGACGATGGTTTTAGCTGAACATGTGTATGTATTTGCAGATGTCGTTCGGGCTGGGTTTCCTGGTGTTCCCGTCGCTGCCGGAGATGCGGCTGGGCATGTTCTGCACGGGCGTGGCGCCAGGCGGCGGCGCCTCCAACATCTGGACCTTCATCCTCGGGGGGAAACCTGAATCTATCGCTCGCTATGACCTCCATATCAACCCTCGCCGCCTTTGGTACGCATGGATTAACTTAAAAGATTTGTATCTCCTAGCACACTTTATTTATACAACCTAAAACCTATTTATGTCCTATGAAATCTTAATATATATAAATTACGTGTCACGTTGTTTGTCCGCGATGGACTCCTAAACTACTTAACCGATTTTAATAAAATTTACACACCGTGTGCAATTTGGTCCAACTTGAGAGATAGGATAGTTTTTTTGCCCGTTAATGACCCACAATTTTTTTGTGAATTTAATGATTATTAATAGGACATAACAAAGGGTCGTCGAAAATGGCAGAACAATGTCTGCCTGGCAAGCTAGTAACATATAAAATATTATTTGTGGAGTTTATAATATATTACTTATTAAATACGGCGACTAGGTTCGCCACCCGTCAGGTTCTGTCTTCTGGAGGGGCGAAAAGAGAATTGCGAAGGCCCGTCTGGCTACACTGAATGTATGTAGAGCAATAAATGATAAGATGATTGAAGTATGTGATATGATGGATGATAGAAGAATAGATGTGTTGTGTGTAAATGAGACGAAGCGGAATGGAAAGGATGTCACTACACATTGCATATATACCGCATACTGGTCTGGTGTAGACGAGACCGAGCATGCCAGGGTGGGTGTCTTACTTTCAGAAAGAATGGGTCAATGTGTGAAAGACTATGAATGTGTACGCCCGAGACTGCTATGGATACGAATGACAGTTGGCCTAAAGAAGTTTTTTATTCTAGGGGTCTACGCCCCAGACGTGTCTAAGCCCACTTATATGTGAGAGCAGTTTTGGGAGATGGTAAGGATGGTGTTAATGAAATGTAAGGAAAAGGAAAATATTATTATGTTAGGAGATTTGGTTAAACTATAGACATCCGGTATTCGTGTATGGGGGTGAGGGTGGGAGAGGGATTATAGGGTGGGGGTAAGGGGATGCCCCCTACAATTCCCCCTTGCGGAAATGTATACTTTATAAGAAATGAATTTTTTTGTAAAATCATAACCTCACTTTTACACAGGAATATTGACCCAAGGTACTTCTGCAACAGCTACGGTGCTGCGGAAAATGCAGCCCCTTCGTCCTTGCGTGGCAAATTGCAGGCACCCATGCTCACCTCCGCAGCTTTGGCTTATTGGTCGCCTTTGGCGACCAGCCCCATCCGCTAAGGCTCGCACGGGTGTCTGCAATTTGCTACGGCGGGCGAGGGCTGCTCTTCCTTCGCGCCTACGGCTTTACAAAAACACTAGGGAAGGGGCAGACAAGGCTATGACGAGTCGGGGCGTGCTATTTCAGTTTTAAAACAAATTCAATCAATCTTATCTATAAAGTCAGGTTGCCCTAAATTCTGCTATGATAGTGGTAAATGAAACAATGTGATGTGAATTGTTATAATTTTGTTTTCTGAAAAACCTCGTGACTGCTCTCCACTGCGACTGACTCCATTTTTTATATATGAATCTCGTTTTCAGCCGATTTGTCTGGGTCCGAGTGATTAACTTTTTTATGGGTGTAATACAGATATAAGAAAAAAACTGACATATTTGCGTTTCGTTAAATACAATTTTCAGTGAAATTTATTTTAATCGTAATTACTTAATTTAAAAGGCATTTCCGATATCCAAAAACAATGTAAAAGGTTCGAGCTTAACCCTGACAAATCTCCTAAATTGAAAACAAAATCGAAAAATCAAGTACCGGACGACTACTTAATAATGCTAGATTAAATTGACATATTTGTGTTTTGCATTTATTTTTATCGTACCGTTAATTCAAAACGGATTTCCGACACTTAAGAACATGTATAATAGGTTCTAGCTTACCCTAACAAGCCTCCTAGACTAAAAACATTATTAAAATCAAGTACCGGATGTCTAGCCAACCCGGAGATTTTAATGGAAGGGTTAGGGTGAAGAGGCTTGGGTATGAAAGGATATTGGGAACGTTTGGTGATGAAAGTATAAATGAGAATGGTGAAAGCCTCCTCACTGTATGTGTGGAAAAGAATCTTTTTGTGACCAGAGTTGATGATAAAAGCATGATAGATTTCATAATTATGGATGAAAGGTTGAGGAGCGCAGTAGTGGATACAAGGGTTTACCGGGGGTCCAACGTAGGGACGAATCATTAACCTGGTCTTGTGCTGAATTAATGGTTTATTCAGATGTTGGCGGCATCGGACATCGGTGTCTACCACTGCGTTACAGTGTATAAGAACAGAGAGGTTACAAGATTAAAATGTGAAAGACAAGTACAAATTAATGTAGACTGAGAGAAAATATAAGTGGTCTGGATGAATTGTGTATAAATGAGTTATGGACGCCACACACGGTCAGTTCAACTGATTATTCCAACTGATCAGTTCAAACTAAAACTGTTGATATTTTTTAAATATTGGATTTTCGATATATCGATAATTATAAATATATCCATATCGGAGTTTTATATATATAAGTTTATTTATCAATATTTCGAAAATCCGATATTTTTAAAAATATCGACAGTTTTAGTTTGAACTGATCAGTGGGAATGATCAGTTGAACTGACCGTGTGGCAACCAAAGCTGGGAATTCTCGCAGTACGAATGATGAGATTGAAAGAAAAAAGGCAGAGTTTAAATGTCTAAATAAGAGAGTAAAAGAACTAGTTGAAAGGAAAAGATAAGAATGATAGACGAATATCGGGTAACTTCCAGGCAAATATTAAAATGTTCTGGAAACTCGTAAGAACTACTAGGGGACATTCAAAACAGCTTAAATTGAATGCTATACGAGACGAGAATGGCTGTATTCTGAATGACGAAGTGTTGAGTTGAGTGTTGAATGCGGGTTAAGAATGGGTGAGTTAACCGTCAAATGCTTTTTGTACGCCGATGATCAAGTCATATTTGCGTCATCGGCGGCAGAGTTGCAAATGATGGTTACATTAATTAACAGGTCATCAGTCAAGAAAGTGGAATGAAAGTTAATGCAAGTAAGACGAAAGTTATGGTTTTTGAAAGAGAAGAAAGTAAAACGACATGTGAAATAAGAATAGAAGGGGAGATGGTCGAGCAAGTATATGAATTTATATATTTGGGATATGTATTCAGCAGGGATGGGAGATATCATAAAAATATAGAACGACGGGAAAATGTAGAAAATAAATGGTGCTCTACACTCTATTGTGAAGTCTTTTTTTAATCTGTTCTACTGCTGCTATATATGCAGCACCCTTGGTTACTTTTTTTTACCTGTTCATTTTATCCTCTTTTTTTCTTCTTCTTTTTCTTTTTTTTCTGTCTTATTGCTACTTTACAAAGATTATTTTATTATAAGCATGTTTCTTACAAAATTTGTTTATACTATTTCGAATGCTTACTAAGATACATTTACTTGTTTCACTATAAATAGTAACTTTTCTTATCAATATTACAAACTTATTTTCGAAAAATATTTTTTATTATTATTTTCCTGTGCTATCAATTATTCTTTTTTTGTGTTATTTATTCCCCTTTTATTTCCTTTTTTTATTTTTTTTATTTGTACATACTTACTCTTATCACAACTTTACTTTAAGCTACTTTTTGCGTTAAATTCTGTTACAAATACCCTTTTTTTAATACAGCTATTTACAGTTATACCTAATTTTATACATATAATAATTACTAAATAAACTTGTTATACTATTATTTTCCTTTTTTTTAATATACTAACTGTTATTTAAAGTAACTATTATATTATCATAGTTACCTTATACAATTTTAATGCAGTTGTTCATTGCTTTAATTTTATATACTTTTAACTTATAAAACTATGCTACTTTGGACCCATTTGCTTTTCCTGCGGTACGAACGACTATTTCTGCATATTTTAGGAAATGGGTCCGACAGTCATCATTGTTAATAACATATTTTAGGGTAGTATCATTAATTGCAATTCCCATCTTCTGCTCGCATTCCAATCTTTTCAAAACGAATCTCAGGCAATCTATTAACAGGTGTAAAATTGTTTCCTCTATTTCACTACTGCATGCACAAGATGGGGACTGCGTTAATTTGTATTTGAATAAATACGCCTTAAAACCTCCATGACCTGTTAACAATTGCGTCTTAACGTTATCTAGTTTAATATTTTTAAGTGTATTGTGTGCTTGTCTTATGTCCGGAAAGAATATCTTCGTGACCGCTCCTGTAGTAGCTTCATTGTATTGTTGTTGCCACCTCATGCGGGTAGAGTCCCTGGTGAGTCGCTTCGCGAAGGACAGAGGGCACTTATCATAAGCTGCGGCTTGTTTGTTTGACAGTGCTGCCTTCTTTGAAAGTTCATCAGCTCTTTCATTGCCGGGTATACCAATATGCGCTTTGACCCAGTAGAACTCAACATCACCGTCTTTATTTTTTAATTCTCTTAAGCGTTCTCGTATTTCAACTGCAAGAGGCTGGAGAGATGAGCTGTCAGTTAGACACTCTAAAGCTGATCGTGAGTCACTTAGTATTGTTGCTTTCTTTAATTTTCTGATCTTGCACATCATGTCAAGTGCTTTAAGAATCGCAGTAAGTTCAGCCTGATAAACACTGCAGTAACTTTCTAACCTAAATGTTGATTTAAGTATTTCTTTCCCCTCACTCCACACACTGACAGCGCCACCTACTTTGTCTTCTAACTTACTGCCGTCCGTGTATATTCTCGGCTTAAGGCCGTCGATTGCGTTTTCTTCTTCTTGTGTAACTAACATCTTGAAAGATACACGGTACCTTTCAGCGGGATGGGATAAACAGAATGGGCTTATTGGTTTTTCTATGGTCCTTCCTGGTAGTTTTTGGCTTTCCTCGCTTGATTTCAGACTGAAAGATGTTCCAATGCTCTTAAGTCAAGAGGGATGATTCCTGATAGTCACACGCTAGACGTGAATGAGATTGTCCTGTGGATTAACCTTTGCAGATCTTAATTGCAAACATTCTTGTTATAAGTTCTAATCTTTTCCTCATGTATTCTTTTTTCGCTACCGTGGCCCATATACTTGCCGC